TCCAGTTACAGTGGCCAAGACGGCGAGTTCATGCCTGCACTTGATTGAGGAGATCAAAGCAACGTAGATGCTCAGATGTTTGCCTGGGCATGGTGTTAAGAATTCGGACACACCCATCTCAAAAAAGCAACTATGCGCGCTGGGACACTCGGCAAGGAACGAAAAAGAGGACGGCAAAATCACCTGGCGCGGACGTCGAGGCGGAGCTGAAGACCGTACAGCATGACGAAGTTCTGTTATGGCCTTATGCTTGCACTGGGAGTGAGGAGGATAAGTAGTAAGTGGCTACGTTCGCATGGTGTTTACAGGAACGTTATTGATGCACGGGGAGATATGGTGGCTCTTCAAACCTCACTGTAACATCCTCTTCCATCAAATGTTACAGATGCTTCGGACATGCGAACCCTCGATTGCTTGTGCAGCGCCATTAGTATTTTTTCCCGACAATTTTTTTATTGCTGGCCTATATGCACCGATTAGATCGATTTGTCATGAAAAAAAAAGAACATGACAAATTCCCCCCGCCCCTTATTTTTTTTTTTTCCCGCCCCCTGCGAGGCGAAGCAACGTGATTGACATACCGTTTTCTATACGGAGAATGTCTTGTAAGGGTATACATGGCTTCCATCACAGCGATGTTATCTCCACGTTCATAGACTTCGAATGTCGAATCTTGCGGGTTCGTAGAGGCTAAGAGTAGCGGGCAGCATCAACCTGACGGCGCCGGCTGCCACTACAGCCACTCGTCATGGTGCCATACTAGAGTGTTTAGCACATGATTTATTATAGAGACAGTGTAAGTTTAAGGTATTCTCACAGTCAAGAAGTGATATTATAAAAGGTTCATTGTCATACTGTGACCTAAGTATAACTGCTAAAGCTTGCCCAACGCCATGTACGCTAATCGAGTTACACTATATGTGTTTTATCTGCGATGCTTTGTATGTAAGGGAATCCCGCTTACGTTTTGTTATTTTTGTAATTTTTAATTCAAAGATAATTTCTTAAACCTTGACATTCTTTCATTATGACTTACTGTCAGGTTTGCGCGTTGCTGCTGCAGAGACGACTTCTATGTAAACACGCCTTCCCGTTCAGGCTACACGCGCTTGTGCTCTGGGTTCGCGTCTTCCTACTAGCCTCATGGTAGTTGTTTAAGAAGGAAGTAGGTCAAAGTTACATTTACTCGCATGAGCTGGAACACAAGCTTTTGTCGCGCCGCAGCAAGAGTAGCCTTCACCCCTCAATATACAAGCCACGACATTGCTAATTGAGGCGACCAGGCATGGTCGGCAATGTAACGTAAGTTGCCCGACGATATATATGCTAATACAGTATTTATGTTGAATGTAATGTCTGTTTGTGCTGTTTCTGCAATGGGCAAATTAATTGGAGGCGCTCAGAGATGTGCGAGGACGTTGAGTAGGGTAACTTGTCTTTTGATCTGAAATGTGCCATGGGCAAATGCTAAGCAAAAAAAAAACGTGGAAATATACTGGCCCCTGCACGGAACCGACGTCCTCGAAGCATCACTTAGGCGTTCTTGGAGCGTAAATTGCTCTGCTATATCTTGCGCATAAGTCGGCTTACAACATTTAGTGTCACGTAATGGATTTATTTATCCGCATGTATTATAAACGCGGAATAGCATTTGTTTTGCACTGTGCGATAGATTCATGAAGTTAAACAACTAAAGTTGTAAGTCTTTTTTTATGTGAATTATTTTTGCTGTGATAACGTGATAGTATGAGAACTTTGTGTAGCATGTTCTGTGGCTTCACGCCTTGGTTGTCTGAAGATTAGATGTTTTTGAGCTAGCTTAGGGCAATAGAATAGGTGATGGCTTGTCAGATTTTGTTAGTGTACGTAAAAGGTGATAATTAGTGATATATTGTTGGCGTGGTAAAGCTATAGAGTACCGAGAAGTGATGACGTCAGCGGTGACCAATGACGAACGAGCCTGTCTGGTTTACACAATCATATGCTCCTGGTAACATTAACTACGTGTCGGTGTTTTGTACGCCGATTGTAACCATCATTCTGGAGAGTATTATTGCAGTTTTTATTAGTATTTCCAAAGGCTGGAAGTGAAAAGCACAAAAAACATAAAAATAATTAAGCAAAAAAAAATAAATAAAAAAAAAAATTAAATTTTTTTAAAATTCATTAAATATGTAAGATCGACTTGCTACCGATGCTTTACCGGGCTTCGCAGGGCGCACACACTCGTGTTTTACGTACGGCACAACATTTCAGCGCAGTAAACCTTATGGATGGCCAGTGGGCTTGTGTAGAAGCGGCAGCTCGTGGCGTTTGTGCTTGCGCAACGTGACGTCCCCTTCGGTACTCTATGCAGAGTAACAATTTGAAAAAGATGCGGCGAAGGCTGATTATTTATGTGAGGCAGCAAATTCCAGTAAAGCGTTTATTGGGTGCATGTTACGTTAACAATAGATCTTCTTTTATGACTACACCTTGTTGTAGAAGCTAATATGTTGAGTTTACAATTTCAATCTCAATGCGTAGTATTATAATTAAATGTATGCAACTACTAGTAATGTACCTCTAGTGGGGTTGTGCGTCGTGTCGGTAGCGGCGGAGTCGATAATAGGAGGTAGAATGGTTAGGGACGTCCTCTGACGTATGTGATGGGTAATGAGAGGTAGAACATGTTTATGGACGCTCCCTAGACGTAGCTGTGATGGTAATAGAAGGTAGAAATGTTAGGGATCCTAGACGTAATTGTGATGGTAATAGAAGGTAAGAATGTTAGGGACGGCTTGTAGACGTACTGTGATAGTAATAGAAGGTAGAAATGTTAGGTGACGCGCTCCTAGACGTACTGTGAAGGGCTACTAGAAGGTAGGCAAATGTTAGGGACCGTGCGCTATACGTAATGTGACTGGTAATAGAAGGTAGAAATGTTAGGGGGACCTTCTAGACGTACATGGTGATAGTAATAGAAGGTAGGAAATGTTAGGGACGTCTAGACGTCTGTGATAGTAATAGAAGGTAGAAATGTTAGGGACTCCTAGACGTACTGTGATGGTATAGAAGGTAGATGTTAGGGTACGCGTCCTAGACGTCTGTGATGGTAATAGAAGGCAGAATGTTAGTGAAGTCCTGCAGGTATGTGATGGTAATAGAAGTAGAAATGTTAGGACGTCTAGATGTACTGTGAATAGTAATAGAAGGGTAAAATGTTAGGGTGAGGCGTCATAGACGTACTGTAGATAGTAATAGAAGGTAGAATGGTTAGTGAAGTCCTAGACGTACTGTGATGGTAATGAGAAGGTAGAAATGGTTTAGGGACGTCTTACGATGTATGTGATAGTAATGAGAAGGGACAGAGAATGTTAGGAACGTCCTAGACGTACTGTGATGGTAATAGAAGTTAGAAATGTTAGGGACCTCCTAGGCAATGGGACACACCATGCAAATTTATTCGCACGTCCGCAGCGATTATAAAATCGCAGCGAAATTCGCATGGTGTGTCCGCTGAAGCGCGGACAAATTTCGCTGCGAATTTCATCCGTTCCAAAATTCGCAGCGATCAAACATGTTTGATATTTTCGCTGCGGACGTGCGGACTGTGTATATATTCGCATTGTGTGTCTCATTGTTGGTGCGGCCGATTGTTATAATGCAGCGAATCATTGATCAGTATGCTAATCACGTGACCACATGACTTTTGGAGCCATGGTCCTGCGAATAGATTCGCATGGTGTGTCCCGGGCTTAAGTGAACTCAGCGCGCGAACGTGTAGTTATAATTACTGCTTCGGTCTTGGGGCAAGGTAGTCATACTCCTTAAACTTCATGATATTTTTGTGCATTTCGAAAAACACATCATCTACACATCGATATAATGGTTTCACAAAGTTATCAACGCGTGCGAAGCCAGCAATGTCATCACAATATGACGTTAAAGTCCAACGGGGAGGGAATAGGTGCGAGTGGGCGTGGCGCGGTTTCTGTCCGCTAGCTAACCGATCGAGGTAGTCTGCTTCTGTCTCCTTGTTCATTTCTTGCTCGCTAGGGAGCGCCAGTGACCCATCAATAATTTTTAGAGCTATCGGAACTTGGAGAAACGAGAGCGCTAACTCGAAAGTTGCATATACCATGTCAATAAACATGAGCGTGTGGTACCTGCTGTGGATCATGTGCTTGAATAATGGTTGTATGCGTTTACCCTCGCTAACAGTGACATCACACGAGGCGTCGAGGAATGGGAACGAATACTCGTAGCCGGTGCAGAAAATAATCACGTCTGGTTCGAGCGTCTCACCGTCGGTGAACGTCACCACGCTACCGTTGATCGCCTGCGGGAATGTCGTTGTTCTCACGTTGTGTGGTAGCAGCCCTTTCTTGTACTGTTCTATCACGCCCACCAGGTCCAGTGCGGTCAGTGAGATGACCACCTCGGACGCATGAGAGTGCAGATCGCCCATGATGTCGAGTGCAGATGCAAACCCTCCAATTATGAGCACTTGCTTTCCTGTTAGGTGAAAGTCGGTTTCTGATGAAATTCGTTAACAGGAAACAGTATCAAAACAAAGCACTCCTATGACCACTGTGTGACATGTACTGGATTCGCTTTATGTAATTACGTATTATGAAATTATTATTAACTAACTAGCGGTATCTATAATAATACAGGCAGCGCACCTGTATAGAGTTCTGGATCACGGTAATCGTGGCTGTGCAGCTGTACCCCGCTGAAGCTCTCCTGACCAGGAATGTCTGGATAGTGGGGGACACTCTGGTGTCCAGTGCAGACTAGCACAGCATCAAACACCTTCTCCTTGCTGC